CAGATTCTCCAGCATCTGCAGTTCCTACTATCTCTGAAACAAATTGTAAAATGTTTGGCATCAAGCTGCAAGTCAGATTTGGAATTAAAACACTTATTAATAACAAAGGAATTATTTTACTCCATCCCTCAGACTGCAGGCTTTAAATCTTACAAAATCAAAATGCTACTATTGAATTAGCAATCTAATGTTACAAACACACACACAATCAGAATAGAATAATATGATAAGACCTGTATTCTGAATGTTATTAAATAAACTCAATAATTTTAACTTGATTAAATATTACTTGGTTCCATGGGGATCTATAAATGCAAGAATGCCAAATTTTAAATCAACAATCTCAACAATTTACACCACAAAAATAAAAGGGCAAGAAACAGACACAGTTAAAGTGACATAGAAACCTGTAAAATAGGTGCAACAGCAGGACATTTGGCCGTTCAAGCTTGCTTCACCATTCATGACGATCATGACTGATCATCCAACACAGTGGGCTGTTACAGCTTTCTCGTAATATCCTTTGATCCTTTAGAGCCCAGTGCTACATCCAATTCCTCCTTGAAATCATACAAATTTTTGGTCTCAGATAACAAGGCGTAGAGCTGGATGAACACAGCAGGCAAGCAGCATCAGAGGAGCAGGAAAGCTGACGTTTCAGGCCTAGACCCTTCTTAGACCTTTCTTTTCTGAAGAAGGGTCTAGGCCCGAAACGTCAGCCTTCCTGCTCCTCTGATGCTGCTTGGCCTGCTGTGTTCATCCAGCTCTACACCTTGTTATCTCAGATTCTCCAGCATCTGCAGTTCCTACTATCTCTGAAACTAATTTTTGGTCTCAACTGCTTTCTGTTTTAAGTGAATTCCACAGGCTCACCGCTTTCGGTGTGAAGAAATTTCTACACACCTCATTCTTAAATGGTTTAACCTGTATCCTAAGACTGTGATCCCTGGTTCTGGACTCCCTGCCAATGGGAACATCCTTGCTGCATGAACACAGTCTAATCCTGTTCAAATTTTACAGCTTTCTATGAGATTCCCCCCTCATTCTTCTGAATGCCAGCAAATACAATCCTAACTGACTCAACCTCTCCTACATCAGTCCTGCCATCCCAGGAATCACTCTGGTAAATAAAAACCCAAAGAACTGTGGAAGCTGTAAATCATAAACAAAAACAGAAGTTGCTGGAAAAGCTCAGCAGGTCTGGCAGCATCTGTGAAGAGAAATCAGAGTTAACATTTCGGGTCCAGTGATCCTTCCTCAGAACTGATGCTATCCAGGAAAATGTCAGATTATATGCAGAAGTTAGGGTGAGGGAGGGGGTAAGGAATAAATGATAGGTGGGGATAGAGCCCAAAAGAGAGAGAAGACAGTTGGACAGACAAAGGAGCGGATAATAATTTTTGAGAGAGTGAATAGCTGTTAAATGGAGACTGTTAGTGGCTAACAATAGGTAGTATGAAAAGGCAGACTATCTGATAACAAGGCCTGGTGTATGGGGTAGGGGGCTAGGACATGGGAGACTTGCGGCCCTAGAATTATTGAATTCGGTATTGAGTCCAGAGGGCTGCAGGGTACCCAAGCAGAAAATGAGGTGTTGTTCTTCCAGCTCACACTGTGCTTTGCTGGAACACTGCAGCAAGTCTGAGATAGGGATGTTGGCCAGGGAACAGGGTAGTGTGTTAAAGTGACAGGCAACTGGAAACTCAGGATCTTTTTTGAGGGCAGAACATATATGTTCTGCGAAGCGGTCACCCAGTCTACGCTTTGTTTCCCCAATGTAGAGAAGACCATATTGTGAACAGTAAATGCAACAGACTAGATTGTGTGAAGTGTTGCTTCTCCTGGAAGGTATGTTTGGGCCCTTGGATGCTGAGGATGGAGAAGGTAAATGGGCAGGGGTTATACCTTCGGTGATCGCAGGGGAAGGTGCAGTGGGGCTGTGGAAGATTATTGTTAGTGCAGGAAGAGTGGACCAGGGTGTCCCAGAGGGAACAGTCCCTGCAAAAGGTGGACAAGGCGGGGTGGGGAGGGTGAGATGGAGTGGGGAGGTTGGGGAAGAGTGTGCGTCTGGTGATGGCATCGTGCTGGAGGTGGTGGAAATGGCATCTAATGATCTTCTGGATGTGGATGCTGGTGGGATGGCAGGTAAGGACAAGGGGAACCCTTTCCTGTTGTGGGAGGGAAGGGAGGGGGTGTGGGTGGAAGTGTGGAAGATGGGTCAGACTCGGTTGAAGCACCGGTCAAGAACACTGCTGGGGAATCCTCAGTCGAGGAAGAAGGTGGACATTTTGGAGGCTCCCTTGTCGAAGTTGGCCTCATCTGAACATATGTGACAGAGACAGAGGAACTGTGAGAATGGAATGGAATCTTTGCATCTATGTTCTGCCTGCAAAATAGACCCTGAGCTTCCAATTGCCTGTCACTTTAACACACCATCCTGTTCCCTGGCCAACGTCTGTCACAGGCTTGCTGCAGTGTGCCAGCGAAGCTAAGGACAACCTGGAAGAACACTACCTCGTTTTCTGATTGGGGACCCTGTAGCCCTCCGGACTCAAAATCATGTTCAATAATTTTGGGGCCTGTACTTTCCCATGCCTTAACCCCCAACCCCACACATGAGGCCTTGTTATTACAAAGTCTGCCATTACACACTACCTATTGTTAGCTACTAACAGTCTCCATTAACAGTTATTCATTCTCCCAGCCAGATTATTATCCACTCCTTTGTCTATCCAACTGACTTCTCTCTTTGGGCTCTATCTCCACCTATCATTTACTCCTTGATCTCTCCCCCACCTTCCCTATATAAACCAACATTTTTCTAGCTACCATCAGTTGTGAGGAAGGCTCACCTGATGTAGAAAGGATAACTCTGATTTCTCTTCAGACATGCTGCCAGATCTGCCAAGCTTTTCCAGCAACTTCTGTTTATGTATCAGTCTGGTAAACCTTCACTGCACTCCCTCTATAGCAAGAACATTCTTCATCAGGTAAGATGACCACAACTGCACAGAATGTTCCAGCTGTAGTCTCACCAAGGCCCTGTAACAATTGTAGCAAGACATCCATTTCATATACTCAAATCCTCTCACTGAAGGCAAACATTCTATTTGCCTTCTTCACCACCTGCTGTACCTGCAGGCTTACCTTCAGTGACTGGTATACAAAGACACAAAAGATCTTGTTGCACATTTCCTCTCTCACTTTATAGCCTGTCAGATATTACCCTGTTTTCCTGTTTTTACTATCAAAAAAGTGGATAACCTGACATTTATCCACATTTTATTGTATCTGGCATGCATTTGCCCACTCACTCAGCTTGTTCAAATCACACTGAAACATCCCTGCATCCTCATCACCGCTCACCTTTCGCCCCAGCTTTGTGTCATTTGCAAATTTGGCGACATTACATTTAGTACTCTCATCTAAATCATTAATATATGTTGTCAATAGCTGAGGTTCTAACAAGGAATTACAGGCTCTGCACGCTTCCAGTTTATTCAAAAAATGCATATGGCTTGTAAAATTTCTTTTGTCTGCAGCGAACATGCTCTGGTTGACTACAGTCTGTACTCTGGCTGTTCTTAGGAATAGCCAGAGAGACACATTGTTCAGTCAGATTAGCCAATTGTTGGAACACATGGCCTACGTACCTGACATCACACCAGCACTGAAGTTCATGCGTGAATTGCTCAGTTGTGTGATATGCAGAATATCATCCAACTTCCGGGTGTTCAAAATAGGCAGGAGCACAGACTGCATCCAACTAGACTTCATTTACAAAACCCAAAACAAAAAAAACTACTGTTAGATGTGATCCCACGATTGGACAGCACTTGCTGAATAATCTTCAGTGTGTTATTAGCTGTACTAATCACTAAAAAAGATCATTAGTCAAGTTCATATCATGGCTCATTTATGCTTGCTAGAAACAACATACAAGCATACACGAGGACACATTCTCTGCAAACAACAGAAATATGTTCATGTGTTGCATTTTCAAATTGCCCAGAAGCATGAGAAACCTGTGGTTTCCCCATGGCAATGTCTCAGTCACTGAGCTTACCAATCAGCAGTCCTTTTCTCTGGTAGTATAAATTACTGAGATTGTTTGAAATTTGGCATTCTTAGGTTTGTCCTGATCAATGCAAGACAAACGCCTTTAGCAACATGTTTCGCTATGCAGGAATATTCAAGTTCCAGACTAGGAAGCAACCGTTTCAATCTATAAACCTAAAAACAAACAGACTTTACCTTTTTGGTGCTACAATATCTTACACACACAAAAACGAATGCAACAATGCTCATGCACATTGAGATAAGCTTTACACTGATGCAAAACAAATTACAAATAAAAAGAACACCATGGTTTAAGACCAATCATCCCAATGTTTCACAAAAACTACAAAATAAAATCAGTTCATGATACTCTTTCTGCGAAATCCAATATAATTAACAATGAAAAACACCAACTGCAAATACAAGGGGGAAAATCAAATGCATGAAGGAAAATGCTACTTTAATAATTAATACTTAAAATGCTTAGGGAGGTCAAAACTCACATACACCCATAAGCGGAATCAAGCAATGGATGAATTTAGTAGCACAGGCACTGAGAAGCTTCATATGTGCAGTACTTACTACTACTAGATTTTGAAGAGGTGTCAAAGTAGGAGAATAGCGAGTCTAGCTCATCTGGACAGAAGAGAGACTCCCGACGTGGCTCAGTGTTACTAACAGCAGCTGGTTACATGCATGTTAGCAAAGCAAAGCAGCCATTGAAATAGAGGAAAACAGAGGAAATTTCTTTTAAAATATTCAAAGAAAAATACACTGAAAGATAGATTTTAATTAGTAACACTCTAAAGTGAATCACAACATTTGGTAGACAGAACAGCCAGGATTTTGTGGCAGTGGTAAAACCGTCAGCAACATCTGGATTCTGTACATTTGGAATTAAAAGTTGCTATTAGTGATTCCAGACTTCTCCAGAGAATATGCAGCTGAACAACAGATTAAAGACATTTAAAAATCACTGAACTGTCAAGAACTTTCCCTTGAATACTGTAATATTAATTTTAAAATCCCTGTGAAAGTTATGCTTTCTTACTGTTGTGAGATTAGATATTTAACAGTTTATAAAGTCAAAACTGCTGAAGAAGAACTTCTAACCCTGGAAAACTACTCTAATATTGCTGCAATGTTAAAATTAAAATGTAAAGGTAAAATTCTGATTAATTTTTTAAAAAATCAAATTTATTTCAACTTCTAATTTGTATGCTACGGGTAAATCAAGGTCTTTTAAAATCCTGGTTTACTGTTTGAGGACTCTTTGAAGTTATTGGCTACTTACCCTGCCTTGATATTACTTTTGTTGCATGCCTGGAGAGCCCTTTTATTTGACTCTAGTGCCAAATGATTATTGAGAAAGGTAAAATCCAGGCCACAGAGAGCGATAGATATTTATAGCCAGCTTTCTTCAAGGTTAGCAGTTAGCACCATAAAACTGGGCCATCGTATTTTTGAATTCTTTACCACAGATGAAAAAGTCATGAACCCAGATTTTGCGGTAATAATGAAAATGAAATGGTCATCATTTGCTGCCATTATTCCTATGAAATTAACAACTCTAAGTTTGCACATAAGAAATTAATCACAAAGATGCTTCAGTAATTACATTACTCTTCATAAAACCTGCTTTTAAATTTGCCGCAGATTGCAAAAACAAAACCACTAAATTAATAACAACCCGCTTTTTTTTAAAAAAAACACTATTGCCTTACTACAGGACCCCTTAAAGTTACACAATGTTGAATGGCTCAACAGTGGTTTTAACAGCAAAGTGTATTCATAGTTACTCAAAAAAGTTACTCAGTTTCTCTGGCCCCGAAAAATAGATTTTATATTTCTGGAACATCAAATTTTCCATTATGTAACCATATATTTTTAGAACATTTTTTGAAGGCCATTCATGATGTTTCAGCTTATATTTTAATCCCAGGTGAATACACAAATCATTAATAATGCTATCTGTAAAATTTAATTAAATATAAAGGATAATTAGTGCACTTTATTTTCTAAGTTGCTGTCTGTGAGCATATTTCAATGGGTCTGGCAGCCTATTCTACTTGCTGACATCACTGTGACTGGACAGAGATCCTCTTGACATGGCACCAGTTTCAAATGAACGTCAAGTAAGGTGAAATCCATGTCATAGAGATCACTATATACGTGAAAGCAGCTTTCTTTGCTGTCAGCAGCATATATTGTCACTTCACCGCTTACCACAAAATACAGGCCACAGTTGTAGGTTACTGGTATTATACAAAAAAAGACAGGAATATGTCTTGTATCTTCATTTCTTTTCCATAATTCAATAATGATTTTTCCCCAATTACTCATTACAAGTTCTTATTCTATTTTCACATGATATATCACAGACTATTACCTGAAAATTTTGAATTGCTCCCTGGAATGGACAGAAATTTGGAGGCTTGTTCATGTGTGCCTTCAAGTTGCTCGGACTGTGGTAAAACCTGTGGACTTTCTTTTGTTGAAGATATTCTGTGGGATTTCTGTACAAATTTCTTCTCAACATATTTAGCTTTGATCCAAGCTTCCTTCTCAAGCCTAACAATAGTATAACATTAAAAGTACTTGAAAGGCACAAAAAAAGAGACATTTAATACCTTACAGTTTAAAAGCAACACACTGTTGTGTGATTATATAACATGTGGAAAGCATAGCAAATGCTAAGTACTTATACACATTACATGCAGTTTCTATGTGATATTTTACAAGTCTTCTGTCAAACATTTACATTTTATATTCTGATAATAGAAATCATAATTTACTTTACAACTGATGTCACCATCATTCTATTAAACATTTATTTTCAGTGGCAGCTAAAATATTTTTGAACAATAATCTACACCATTAAAACAAAAACTTGTATTTATATTCTATACTTTATCTAATTCCTCAGAAATATCTCATGGTACTTCATATCAAACTAATTATCTTGAATAAAACAAACTATGATCAATTAATTTGTTTTACAATATATTTCTTGAGGGATAAATGTTAAAAAGCACTTTTGAATGGTGTCACTATTTCTTTAATATTGACCAGAATAGAGGTTGAAGGTAAAAAGATGTGCAGGGTAGGTGGATTGGCCATGCTAAAATTACCCACATGTTCAGGGATGTGTAGATTAGGTCAGTTATAGGGGGATGGGTGTGGGTGGGATGCTGAGGGTCAGTGTGGACTTGTTGGGCTGAAGGCCTGTTTCCACACTGTAGGGATTCTAAGTAGCATAACTTAAAACCTATTTAGTCAAGTTCACAAGTTTACTCGAGAAAAAATTAAATTATAAAGAAGTTTTATTATTTACCTTGAATCTCCTGCATTTGGCTTTTTACAATGCATTTCCTCGACTCCTGCCTCATATATTCTATTTATAATGTTATTTCCCAGTGCACACATAAGCTGTCAAAGAAAATGAGTATATAAATTTCAGCAAAGTTCACTTGGAAAGAAGACAAACTATATTGGTAGGCTACTAATATAAAACCTTTGTTCTAACTTCATGATTAAATTTTTATTTGCTAATTTGAATCTTCCAACTTGACAAAAGAAACTGCAAATTCTCTAAAATGCTGTTTTGAGATGCAAGTTCCCCTGTTAAAAATATCACTATGCTATTACATTCAGATCTCAACATCTCAACTATAAAATTGTATAAAAGTGGGCAAGTATAAATTAAGCATCTTTGATGTTGCCCAAGAAGGAATAATGGGAAATAAGGTGTTTTGCTGAATAATGCAACATGCTCACATTAATTTCAGCAACTGATTTTACATATAAATACTAAACGTACAGGCTCACTGTCTAAAGCAATCCTTTAACAGAAATTGTGAAAAAAAAATCACACAAAGTTCTTTTAAAAAAGACTTACTTTTAAGAGCTCAGGTTCCCATGAATCCAGAGTAAGGGAACGCACCTTAGAAAAATGGACACCTAGACTCCTAAGCACAATGAGAAAAAGCCAATATAATACAAATAATCCCAACATTCATCACTAGTTCAACTCCTACAAAGTACAGAAGCTTAACAGAGCAGCAATAAGTTAAATTGACAATGGTCAAGCTAACAAAAACAGAAGTTGCTGGAAGAACTCAGCAGGTCTGACAGCATCTGTGGAGAAAAAAAATCAGAGGTAATGTTTTGGGTCTGCTGACCCTTCCTCAGAATCAGTCACCAGACCCAAAATGTTACCTCTGATTTTTTTTTCTTCACAGATGCTGCCAGACCTGCTGAGTTTTTCCAGCAACTTCTGTTTTTGTTTCTGAATTACAGAATCTGCAGTTCTTCCCGTTTATAATGGTCAAGCTAATCCTTTCCTTCTTGTAATTTTCTTTAGAGATATCCCTTCATAATCCTGTAAAACTGGATAGAATCAAATCTCAAATTTTGAGCCGATTTTGTCCCTAATTGATAGCCCATTACCCTACCAAAATAGAATAGCAAAAATTCAGTTACCTGTAAACTTTACATTCAATGAAAACAGCAATTTGAACGTATATTAAGCTTAAATCATACCAAGTGAGTGAATACAATTCTTTCCTGATCTGTTATAAATGTTTCCTATTTTAGCAATGTTAATACCTGTGAATTCCTGAACATTCAATGCATAGAGTGATTCCAAGATTAATGCTTGCCCAACGAGGGTCTAACTGGCCACAGTCACAGCAATACGTATTGCCAGCAATGCACTCCACACGCTGAAGTGCACTTTCTCCTTTTACTGGTCGCTCCTTCAATTCACTCCCAGAGTCCAGACTGCTGGTAGAAGGGGATGATCTTCTATCTAATTTCTGGGAAAGTAATAACAAAGTTTCCTTCTTTCAAATCAAGACCCATGTAAATGCATAAGAGCAAAGATTTTAAAATTACAAACTGTCACTTATCCCGTCTGAACATGTTGGAAACGGTATCACACAGAAACATTTTTGTCTTTAAACCATAATGCCTTCTCAATCAGTTCTTGCTGTACCCACGTCCACCGCAACATTGGACTTCTGCTCTTCTACTATCTCCCTTTCAACTTTCTCTCATAACCAGCCTTCTGACATTGGTCATTCCTCTGGCTCATCAATGGCAAAGCCTTGAGTCATTAAGTCACAACAATATCTTGCACTTGTGCAGTGCCATTAATATAGTAAAACTACATAGCAGACAGTTACAAAATAAGATCTATCAATATGAAGAAAATAGTGCAACTGAGCAAAATCTTGGTCAAAAGAGGTAGATTTAGGGAGGTTACTCCATACCTGTAGCTGAAAGCAACCTACCAATGATGAAACAATTTAAAAAAAAAAACTTTAGGATGCTTAAGATGCCAGAATCAGACAGTTGGAGATACCACAAAGACTTTAGGCTGGAGACAGTTATAAGGACAGAATGGGTTGAGACACAGATATTAAGAATAAGAATTTTTAAATCAATATATTGCTAAACTGAGCCAATGTAGACCCATGAACTGAGGCAATGGGTGAATGGGACAGTTCAAAGGGCATGGATAGTAGAGTTGCAAATTTATTTAATTGTTCTACTCTCTGTAAACTTGGAAACCATCCAGGAATGTGTTCAGTCAAATGTAGAGGTAACAAGGGAATGGACAAGGATTTCAGACACAATTGGTCAATGTCACAGAGTTGGAAAAAGACAGTCCATGTGGTGGCACACATGATGTAACTGCAAGGTTATCTCAGGATCAAATATACCAACAAGGTTGCAAGCAGTTTGGTTCAGTCTCATACAAGGGATAGGGTCAATTGTTCAAGGAACAGAATTTGTGGTTAGTTTGAAGACAATGGCTTCTGTTGCCCAATAGTCAGCTGGAGAAAATGTTTGCTTATCTAGGGCTGAATATTTCACAAGATTTCTAATAACTGCGGCACAAACTAAAAACCAGAGCAAATCGTTAATATAAGTGAAAGCAGTAAGAACATTTTCACAACAAGAGTTGTGAAAATTTGGATTTCTGTCCCTCAAGGCTTTGGATAGTAGTTCAACTGAAACTTTCAAGACTGAGATTAATATGATATTAAGCAAGGAACATGGAACTGGTAAAATAAGGCTGAGACACAGATCAATTATGATCATAACTGAATGATGGAGCCAAGCTACAAATGTTACTGTTGTAGTAACTGGAAGACCAAGTTTGCCAAAACAGACTAAAGGCAACTGTACTGGAAATGTTCTGATTAAGAAGAAACATTTGTCTCTATGAAATGTCAGGAGCTAAATACATTAAAAAGGTCATGCTGTCTACCTCTTATGATAACAAATCATGCTTAATCCACTATAAATTGCATTCAAATTTGAGACATCTGTGAACAAGACAACATGGATATGCAAGGGTTAGTAATCTTCAAATTCCTAACCAGAGTTTAACAGTAAACAGTGCAATGTATACTCATGTTATGACAGCATAGCAAAGATTTAGTTTTTCTTTCACATTAACTGCAACAATCATTTTACTAAGACAGAAACACCGAACCAACTTAAACATTGATAGATATAAAACTTTTTTCATCACCAAATAAAAATATCTAGTCAAATGCCCTAAAATTTGAAGACTTTGAAGTCTCAGTTAACAACACAGATGTATTTTAACTGAAACAAAAAACATAACAACAACAAATGATCCTAATATGACCACACCTATTATTATGAGTTTTGTTTCTAAAGACAAGCATATCTTTCCACACATTTAGATGTCTAGGTAACAACACTGGTAACAATGGAATATAAACTCAGGATTATCAATAACTAAAGAGGGAATCACATGCTATCATGAAGCAGATAAAAGTAAAGCATTTAATTTTTGTGTTTTTTTTTGAGAGGTTCAATGTCTCTTCATAACTGAGTTATACCAAGCACAAATATAAAAGGGTATAGAGCAAGTTCAGGAAAATATAATTAGTGTACATTTCTGAATGAAAAAGCTTTCACAACAGACTGAACTGCCTTCATGTTGATCAAATCTAGAAAGACAGTACCCAAACCTGTACCTTTAATTGCACAGCATCCTTTAACAATACACTGAAACATCATAAGCAGAAGTGCGATTATACGGTGTGGCTCAAAACTAGAAACCATGGAACAAGTATCAGCAGGATAAACTGCCAAAATTAAAGAAAAATTTCTTGGATGGGAATTATGCTGGCAAGGCTATAATTACTGCTAGACTCTGGTGCTAAAGTGGTGGCTGGCTTTCTCCTTGAAAAGCTGCAGTGAATGAGTTTTAAGAAGTGAAAATATATTGCATACATACTTCAGCATAGCTCTCTTCTCCTTTCTCTTTGTATGCTGTAGCTATACTAGCTTGAACAGCTTTGATCCAAACCTGTCGGATTTTCTCAGAGTCTGCTTGCAGCATACAACTCCTATGCAAAGACATGCAGAAGTTTAATACTTATGGAACCACTGGAAACACAAAAATTTAGATATCACACCTACTATCCAAGTAGCACCATTATTGAAATTGTAACAAGAATCAATAAACTTAATTCTTCATGCTGTGGTTGGAAGTGATTGATAACTATGATATCCTAAATACACCTATATATTTCAACCATCTTACAAATCAAACATTAGCAAATACTTTAAAAAATGGAAAAACAATTATTTGTTAATTGCTCCACTATACTAAAACTAAAAGTGATGGGACAACTTGACAAGGTTCTGATGACTATGGATTACAATAAACAAGAACTAGTACTAAATATAAAAAAAATTCTGCCCACATAGAAAACCACATGCAACTTAAAAACACCAACTGCCTGTATGTTATCTCCACTTGTTTCCATCAGAAACCTCATTTCAGATCTTAAAATCAAATTACCATCTTGTAAGATGAATCCCATGCAAAAGCTAAGTATACACAAGATACATTCCAAATTATAATTATAGTCGTTCAGAAATAAGACAAAATGTATAGATGAGATAACAAGGAGCTGGATAAACACAGCAGGCCAAGCAGCAGAGGAGCAGGAAGGCTGACGTTTCGGGCCTAGACCCTTCTTCAGAAAATGTATAGATGCTTACTTTGTGGGAGAGACTACTTCAAAACAGAAGCGCCTTTCAATATCCTCACATGGTTTGACTGTGCAAAGTCGTAAATCATCAACTACTACTGTGAGGTTATCCTGTAAAGAAATTTAAAAGTACTCCAGCTAAATTAAAGTGTTGAAATATTTAAACAAATTTAATTATCATAGTACTATAGCTGCAGGAGAATATGTACATTCGTGTATATAATTATGTCAGATGCGATCGTAAGCAAAAACTGTAAAGCTCAATAGATATACAAAAGCCACACAAACAAATTAAACTGTGATTTTACATCAGACACTGGTACAGCATACTTGTTACAAATATAAATTAATTTGGGGGAAATTTCTGAGCGTGGTATAAAATTCACAGTTTCTGAAGTAATTTAACTAAGTTACTATTAAACAATTGTCAGCTGTTAGTCCAACATTTTGTGCTCAATATACTTCTTGCTTACCTTAAACTTCTTTTGGTAAACCAGCTGGTTGTTTTGAATTGAAAACCAACGCCTGTTGAGAGAGAAGAACTTATGGGTTGTACATAGGACTATTACAAAAACAAATGACAAATAAACATTGTAATATTTGAACAGCTTTGAAAACAGCCCTGTTCTAATACTCCTTTTACATCTTCCTTTTCTGAAGGCCAGTGTCCCTGCTAGCAATTAACTCAAGGAACCCTTGATGAGTCTACAGATTCCTCTTCGAGCTACTTTACCAGATAAGGAGCAACACGGGCAAACCACCCAATCTGTTCTCGGGCTATAAACTTTTCAACTTGTTTCTGTGAATAGTCAACAGCAGAAATGTCACTGATATTTACCTCTTCCCAAGCTTGTGATACCAATGCTAATTGCAGCACTTATTTAATATATTAACAAGATCAGCAAGGTTAACGCATAGTTAATGCTTGGTCCACATCTCTCAGTTACACACAAACTTTTGCAATAGACATAACAGGAAAAAAATCACTTTTCTTCTGCCCATCCTACTACCCTTCTTTCCACCCACCTGATCCTGACCATCATTGTATGTCGTTTATTTTATGGCACACTATTTCCCCAGCCTGGTCCTAGGCCAGTGGTCCTCAAATCTAACAACTGCACAGATGTTAGAAGGTCAATTGGCACACTATTTAGGGCGATTACTCCTCCACTTGTTCTTCTCTACAGAAGTGCCTTGACATGTTGGAACTAAAATCCCATGAAGATGCTTTTTAAAAGAAAAACAAAAATTGTTTTGGGGATGAATTAGTAATTATTGTCCATCTCTTATTGTTCACTGGCTGTAAAAGTCACCACATAGTAGCCAAACAAGCAGGAGCCGAATACATTGAAAACCTGTAGAGATTAGGGACAATCTACCAAATCTAAAGTCATTTTGTTTCCTAATGCCAGTCTACAAATTAATAGATATATTGAATTCAATACCCCAAACTATCATTGTGGGATTTAAGCACACAATGTTTGGTTGCTAGCCCATACCAATACCACATCTGTTATACAAGTGAATGGCAGCAAATCATCTTACTAGCACTGCAGTAGTGCACTATAAATTGGTGAGCAACTAGATGACATTTTTCATTTCATTACAAAATGTAGTCAACTTAATTCACAGATAACAGATCAGATGTTCCACACAGTTCAAAAAAGTTCTGAAAAAGTGATTTTCACAACTGATATTAAAATCATTCTTAACAAATGTGAGTAACTGATTTTTAAAAAATAAACTAAGGCTGTTAGTTGAATAATTTTTCATAATATGGAATCTTAAAACTTGAATGTTGTATTTATTGTTGAAACCATCATTTACCACACAGTCAGAATGTGAAGTTCAACAGGTTAGTAGAAAGGATAATTAGTTGTGTTAATAGCGCAAAAGGCAAAAGAAGCAAAAATAATGCTGCCTCTGGTTTGCAACTAACACAGTACCCATGCTGTGAAAAAGGACAGCATGGTGACCAGTTTTAAAAGCCACGGATTAAACCAGGTTTACCCGAAGTTCTTTGGACACTTGCAGACAGGTGAAAGCTAATATGCAGAGATAAGAAGGGGGAGATAAGATGTCCAGCTGACTGTTGGTACCTGATGTGGGGGGTCTTTTTCCTGTCACATGACAAAATAGGGTGGGATCAAGACATAGAAAGAAAACAGAAAAAATGAAATAGTAAAATGAAACACTAACTAAAAACATAGGAAGATAAAATGCATCCTAAAGTGGTATAAGTTGCCTTGTTGCATGAGATCCAATAAACAGCAGAGATTAAATATTCTTGCACTGTCTGATACGAATCAACAGTTTTACACTTAAAGATGTAACTGCAAAATTAACAAAACGTATTTGATTTCAGTTCTGCACAGTGATCAGTGGCAATGGAGAAAATTATATATTATATAAAGGACATTCAAGGTCTTTGTCGCTTATACAGTTGCAGACTAACATTAGCCAATACAAACTGACACCATGCTAATGGATCTCCCATGGCACCGTACATGAAAAATCAAGACAAAGTAAATTTTTCTCAGTGCTTCTGTAAGTATAGCTTGGCAGAATCCGTGAAGTGTACAAATACATGTATGATTTTGAAACAGGATTGAAATGAAAGTTACAGATCAGGAAGACCATATGACCCACTGGAATTAATCAATTCAGAAAGATCCTACAACAGTTTATATCTAAATTGCAGCTTTGCATGGTATAATGTGTAAAGGAATTTCACTGAAGCAGTAACAAACTGAACTTTGCACAAATCCACTTAAGGAAACATTAGGATTGGCTTGGCCAAGGGGTAGATTTTAATAACGATGTTTTAAAGGTGGACAGCAACGTTTCGCAGCAGCTGAATCAATGAAATTCGTGCTTATGTACAAGGTCAGAAATCAAGAAACACAGAATCCTTGTAGGTTGACCACTTTGGAATTTCAAAAATAAGGGTGAGAATGTAACCACATTGTAACACAATTTTTTTTTTTTTTTGCCGAGTTGATTGATTATGCCTTTACTATGCTATCTGGAAGTTTATTTAACATATCATAATACAGGATTAAAAATTTGTTATTTGTCTTAAGGGTACCTTTCTTGACTTTGTACCAGTGGCCACTAGTTCTACTCCTGCTGCTAAATGAGAAATAATATTCAAGATTGTATTCATTTAACAGTGTTCTATGCCTCTGTCAGATCACCTCTCCTTTATTGATTGATCTGGGAGACTTTGTTACTCAATCATAATTTATGTAGGGGCAGTGGACGAGGCATGGCTTACAAACAGCTTAGGCCTCTAACTGTTAGAGTTAAGAACAATGAGAAGTGATTTATTTGAAGTATGTTTTCCCCTTGTGGGGCAATCTGGAATGAGGTCACAATTTTAGGCTCAGGGGTGACAGTTTTAAAACAGAAATGAGGAGGAATTACTTCTCTCAAGGGGTCGTGAATCTGTGGAGTTCACTACTACAGACTGTGATGGACTCCTAGACACTGAATAAATTTGAGGTAGACAGATTTTTCATTAGTAATGAGGTAAAGGGTTATGGGGAGCAGGCAGGAAAGAGGAGCTGAGGCAGAGATCAGATCAGCCATAACTGCATTAAATGATACAGGAGCCTGCTCAGAGTTATTACGTTCTAAGAGAATCTGCAAAGTGATATATATAGGGCAAGCGCATGGGGAAAAAATATGCCAGATGAAGTATCATGTAGGAAAATGTTAACTCATCCACTCTACCAGGAAGAACACAAAAACATTACAACATTATTTAAATGTAGAGAGGTTACAGGACTCTGGAGGTACAAAGGGATCTTGGCATATGAATTGTAAAAGAAGTCAGTATGCAGGTAGAGTGAATGAAAAGAAAGGCAAATGAAATGTTCTTGTTTGTTACAAGAGCAATGGATTATAAAAGTAGATGTTCTACTTTTTAAATGGTGAGACCAAATCTGGGAGTATGGTGTAAAGTTTCTGTCTCCTCATTTAAGGGAGAATATAAATGTGGCAGAAGCAGTTCAGGGAAGATTCATTTCGACTGATGCCTGTGATGGTGGGGGCAGGTCACGAGGAAGAGATTATGTCATCAGTAAAGGTCGGCCAGGTTAAGACTGCATTCTTCGGAGTTAAGAAGAATAAGAGGTGACCTTACTGAGACATACAGGATTCTGAGGGACTTTACAGGTGGATGCTGAAAGGATGGTTCCTCTTATGACAGAAACTAGAAATAGAGGACAGAATAGAAATGCAGTGGGTCTTCCTTTTAAAACTGAAATAAAGAGGATTTTCTGGGAGTAGTGAGTCTCTGGAACTTTGACCAAGAGATCTATGGAGGTTAGGTCATTGGGCATTTAATGCATAGATAGACAGACGTCCTTGCTAGTGAAGAGATTATAATTATCAGGGATAAGCAGGAAGGTGGAGTTGAGGCCACAATCAGGTCAACTGTGATTTTATACAATGTCAGGGTTGGCTAGAGAAGCAGCTCCCAAATTGTATGTTTGCAATGTAACAAGCATACAAAGCAGTACCTGAATGTTCCCTTCACTCCTACTGATGACAGGTACAAGGTCTTTCGAAATTTCCTTGGAGTAGTTCACAACCAACATCTCGTGGTAAGCATCTGACAAAAACTGCTGCCGAGATTAAAAGCTAGCAGCCAATTAACCTGCAAATTAGTTGCGGCCAGAGAGGGTATAGATGAAAATGCTGACAGATACCTTGGTTCTTGCTTTTATCATACATCACTGACTTACTGTTCACCATTTTGGCCAGGATATGCACATGTAAATCTATTGGTATACAACTCAGTACAATGAAAATCATCACAAGTGCTGGAATCAACAGAGACAGTTCGATTCAGATCTACACACTAAAAGTATGAACACTTAGAAACTTACTCCACTTTAGTGCAATAGGGCCAAGTTCTGTAGCCAAGTAAAAGCAAGTCAAATTAGGAGAAGTCTACTTCATTTCATTTGCTAAAATGTTTTTTCAGCAGTTTGAAATATAACCAAGTTAAGTCACCTGGAGTGTACCTCATTCATTGTTGGTGGCTATGCAGCACTTCATAGAATCATAGCATCCCTACAGTCTGGAAGCAGGCCATTCGGCCCATCAAGCCCACAACTACCCTCTGAAGAGCATCCCACCCAGACCTACCCTCTTACTTTATCCACACAACTCTGCATTTCCCATGGCTAACTCAGCTAACCTATACAGTCCTGGGTAATTTAGCATGACCAATCCACCTAATCTGCACAACTTTAGACTTTGCAGATTTTAATCAGTCACCATGAGACCTTAGACTATTTGATAAAGTGCTTCTGTTGTTTTAATTTTAAAATAACATAACTAGAATGGTAATTCACAACTTAAGCATAATTTGGCCAGCTAGATCTAATGTTTGACAATTTTGTATTGGATGCCGTCATTACAATCAAGATGAACAAACTTCGTAACTGGATAATTTCACTTGGAAGTGAAACATAATTCTTATGTTCCAATCAAAGAATTTCTGTTTCTACTCACAAGTGATAAAAAATTGTGTGACAGACATTGATGATTTCATCCTAATCATGTGTCCTTCTCTGTACTTTACAGGCAATCGGTGCAAGAGTATTTCAGTGTGAAGTTGAAAGTTTAATCTTACCGGTTCCAAGTTTTAAAGGCATTGCTGGCTCGTTTATACAAATATCCTTCCATGACCACACCATTAGCAGCATCAATGTTAAATTCTATCTTGGGATCATCGCTGGAAAAATCCTAAAACATATGATTTGAAACTGAATATAAGTGCAACAATTACTTGACATCAAAAGAAGTTAGTTACAAGCAACAGTCAAACTTAAATGTTTGTAGTACGGTCATCCTATAAATTTACAAAAGTGCATTTGAAAAGCATTGATAGTGAAATATTACATAATCATCTATTGTAATTTCACTTTACGAATGTTGTAACCTTGCGTTTCTTAGTCTGTAAATGATCACCAACTTCATAACCAACAATGCCAACCTAACTATAATGAATCCGATTTCTATTTGGTACAAAAAGATTTTCACTAAAGTATAATAATTTTTTGTGAAGCAAAAATGGGGCACTGTGGCCTCGCATGTAAAATATTTGAATAAAAGCAGAAGTTGTGCAGATGCTGGAAATCTGAAATAAAACGAAGTACCAGAGAAACTCAGCAGATCCAGCTGTATCTGTGGAGAGAGAAAGAATTAACGTTGAGTCCAATACATCTGCTTTGGAATTCTTGCCAGAAGTACTTGCTTTATATACCTCAATTTTTTTTCCTTTATTAGCAATTAGTGTAACTGACAGATCTTTTCCCCAAATAAACTTGGTAAACTCTTTCCCCGCCTCCCCCCCCCCATTCATATGACTTTTTCAGTCATAGCATTTGAAACTGAACGTGAAAGAGCTCACTGAGTAGCCCACCATTTTTTTTTCCATATTAGTTGTAGTTTCAAGTTACACATCATACAAACAGTACAGTATCATATGTTTTTTACTTCTACTATTACTGCAGCAGACTGGTTCAACTGTATTGCAAACATAAGAAGAAAGTAGGATGAATTGGTGTGCTCAGTGTGACAAAAGCTCACAAGATAACTTTCATAAAATGATGACATATAGAACTAATAATTTGGTATTCCCATAGGATATCATTTAACATTTTCATTTAACTTGCGAACTGTAAATTCACTTTCAAATTAAAAGGAAATTGGTTCTGCATAATAACATTATTGTTGAATTTCTTTTATTCGGTTTTGTGTTATGCCAAATTATGCAGTTTGAAAATTCCCTACTGCCACACTTGGAAAGCCTGTTTTTCAAAAAAAAAAACACTTAAGAAACAGACTCCATATGCCATTTTCTATTTCTGTGTGGAACATAGTGTCTATGAAAATATGGAAAATTCCTCATTTGGATATCCTTCTTTGGCTACACTTATCCTCAGTGCAATTCTCCTTAGATATTTTAACAATCTTTCATTTTCCTGACATATGGCGAATTAATTTTAATTCTTAAACTGTCTACTAGCTTTGCCAGTAGCAGCGCTATGTTTTTGTGGCACGGATGCTACCAACAACGAACGAGGTGGTGTCCATCTCTACAGGACATAAACACAAGGTCAATGTATATTTACGTCCCCCTCACCGGGTGCAAGATTGTCACTGCTTGATACTACTTTTTCTGATTGTGTATGCTCAAAATGAGATTCAAGCAAAGTACATATTTGGCTAAAGTCATTTTTTGTATTATTTTTGTATTTATGAACTGATCCTACCACATAAATGCACTAGTTCAACAGCACTAAGAACCAAAGTGGGTAGCAGATCAAAAGGCATTGTAATTTATTTGGACTGAAACATGCGCGCACTTAAGTTTAAAATAATTAAAATTTAAGAAGCTATGCTAAAGTGATTAAAACATGATAGCAAGGCAGAAGAAGATGATAATAGGGTACACGAAAGATGAAGGGCTAATGCGCGGCAAAGCTATGTGATAGACATACATGCACAGATTCAGAATCATTTATGAAAATTGCAAGAAAGTAAGTGCTGTAAATGCTCAAATCAATCTACATCTGCAATAGAGCAGAAGAGCTGTAACATTTCAAATGCATACTCTGAATCCATGAGGATTCTTTGAGGAAATCCGTGAATCAGAATCATGCAGTAACACATGGCGTAGGAATTCTTACTCCTATGTTCTTTATGGCACAAGAATTCTGGACATTTGGTATGATTGACAATTAAATTTAGCACTTTTTGAAACTTTTTAAAATATTCATTCATGGGATTGTGGGTGCTGTTGGCTAGGCCAGCATTTACTGCCCATCCCTAATTACCAAGAGGGTAGTTAAGAGTCAACCACATTGCTGCGAGTCTAGAGTCACTCGCAGGCCAGATTAGGTAAGGATAGCAGTTTCCTTCCCTAAAGGACATTAGCAAACCAGATTGGTTTTCCCAACGATGAATGTTGGCTTCATCATTATAATTAGACTCTCTATTCCAGATTGCTATTGACTGCAAATTCTGACATAGTGGGATTCGAATCCAGGTTACCAGAACATTACCAGGTTCTCTAGATTAACAGTCTAGTGATAATACCATTAGGCCACTGCCTCCCCAGATACAAGTCAGAAATCAGGCATAAAATTATAGTTTGTGCATACATATGTATGTGTCTGCAAGAGAATGTTGATTAAGGTGGGGCCATAACATGGATAAATTACAAAATTTAGACATTGAAATCCATTTGTTATGCTATTGAGAGCAAAAGGAACTTAACAAGGTTGAGGATGATGAGGACAATACAGTCTGAAGGGCTTTGAAACTGCAGCATTCTGAATAAGTTGCAATTTTTGGGAGGATAGGTGGCAATTTAATGACCAGTAAAAAACGTGGCATGTTGTTATCAACTCGCATTTCAGTAGCAAGTGCTGAAGTTGCCGAAATGGAAGAAAACAACACTGGTAATAGTAAAAGAAGGGAGCTGACTAGAGTCAAGCCCACATGCACAGAAGTATTAATGGGCAACAAAAAGAGTCTCTAGATTTGCTGAATAATGAGAGAGAAAACTTTGCTCTTCTGGGTCCTAAATCAAGACAGACAGCGGACAGTGTATCAATAGTCCCATGGAACTGACAGAAAAAGTTAGGAAGTAAAGCTAGATGTCACTCTAAGATTGGGAAACTGACCCATCTTTTCCATATTGCCAAATAAAGTACTGCAAAGGAACCTACAAAAAAATGAAGAGAAATTGTTGCAAGAGACTTGATATCTGGATTGGAAAACTGTTATAAATGTAAATCAGACAAGGGCCGTACTATGGAAGTGAACCACACACAGGAGACAATGGAGATTCAGATGTGAACTGTAACAGGTGTCACAAAAGCCAATTGTAAAGACTACAGTAAGGAGCTCTGAGAATTTAGTTGCAAATCAGAAATGAAACCCAATACTTAAAATCGGCGATAGAGAACAAATAAACATTTGTGACAAGGGAAATGGACAATGCGCACATCAACAAGGCAGAAAAAAAAAGAGACAGACAATGTGGACAGATTAGCAAACATTAGACTGAGGAACGGAAGTTGGGGAGCAGGTGATGAGCTAGGATGAATTAATGATTCAAGTATAATAAGCAGTGACAGTTCATCTCCTAGTCTTTAGATAATGCTGAATAAAAATTTAATAATGCAGAGGATATGACTTCTGCCATGAATATTGCAACATCTAGTTATTCATGTAGGATAAACCTGATCTCATATAGAACAACAATTTAGGCACATTGTCTGGAGAAAATAGGTAAAATTATCAGTTTCGGTCATTTCTATAAGAATCAAGAAGTCAAAAACTCATTATCATCTCATTTAATTCTAACCATGACTTCATTACAATTTCACAAGATTCCTTGGTATTCTTGAAACATAATGCATTTCATCAATCATTAAGAACTTCTAGGCATGAGAGTAATACCAATGGCCCAATGTATATTCCTTAAAGTGCTAGCACACTCTGTTTTAAATAATGTAGCATTTCCTCTAGAAAGCAGGCAAGGTCAAGCAAGATTGGAATTTATAGTTAAGGTTGGTAATGATATATCTGCCTTTGAACTAAGTAGTTTCTTTTTCTACAGTTCCTTACCAATTCAGGGTAGAACTTTCTGTATTAGACTTTACCAAATGTCAAAGCAAATTTATGTGGTCTTAAATCATAGAATAAGACTTGGTATAATTAATGATTACCAGCAAACATTAATTTTGTTTCTCTCTTCAAAGATGCTCTTGACCTTCTGAGTGTTTCCAGAATTTTCTCTCTTTGGAAGATTTAGGACCACAGCCATATAAAGTGACTCATTGTAACAGAGAGCTGAAAATGTTCTTAGAAAGCATGTAATGTTTTATCATGGAGAGGTAGATTCAGTTTAAAAGATGACTGAAAAGAAGGTACTTACTAACTTGAAATTTACATGTTCATAAATTAAATAATTGTTGTTGAAGTATACCATTTCATTAAATAATAAACCAATTACCGTATATTAAACATAAAAGGTGATAATAAGCAATTGCATAATACATTTAAGAGAAACTTATGCATATATACACATATCACGAACTATAGTTTTACTCATTGCAGTCTATTCAGGTAAACTGAACCCGATTAGATTACATGTCGTCTTCGTAGAGTCGATGCCATTCAATTGAGAAAACTAAGAAGCTGGTGACACTGCCAACACATAACCACTTGACAGTAGTTCTCAACTGAACATTTAATTTAAGCTGTCAAAAAATTATAGAATTTTGTGCAGCAGGAGGCTTTGGGGAATAAAACTCACACTAAAAAATGTCATAGGGAATCAATAAGTAATTAAATGTAATACCGCCATAATGAGGAGTTGTGGTCACTGAACTGAAATTCTATGGATTTGCAAACTTCTTGAAAGATACTTGCTAAAACTACTCATTCATATATAAACATATTTCATAAAAGCAACTTACCATATATAATACGTAACGAAACCTGAAGAATCTCATTGCAACAGCTCCTTACAGTTGTCAAAAATCTGTATTCCAGTGAAACACAGCAAATTTTCTTGCACCGAGTTGATAAGTTGACAGTTTGTGTTGACTGTTGAATCTACAGCTCAGAATTCATACTCGATATTGCCTATCACTACATTTGTAAATACAGTCAGTTTCGTTGAAATTTGGGCCATACTTTTTTCCTTTGACTTATTGATAAATAAG